AATTTGAATCGACAGGCTCGGTACAAAATGCGCCAACAAAAACGCGTGTTCGACCGGGTCGTTCAACAGTAGAATATTCCACTTTAACTATTACAGTTATGTCACAATAACTACTTTTTCATGTTAAAATATGAAATAGTAACTCCGGTACAAACTAGGCCACAATTATACAGAGGAAAGATTTGTTTGTTTGTTTGTTTGAACTGAATAGACTCCGAAACTACTAGACCAATTTGAAAAATTCTTTCACCACTAGAATTCTACATTATCTCTGATGAACATAGGCTATACAATATTCTCAAAAATGTTAGGGATCCGTATGAAAACTTCGTTAATGTAACCCAAAGTGTGAAAAAAAATAACAAAAAGTATCCTTATATCGCGTACGCTACGGAAAGTATTGATAATAGAGCAAAGTAATATACTTCACTTTTACAGAGGATGTCAATATCTACAAAAAAGCCTGCTGTTGCTGCTGTTTAACTATTACATTTATGTCACAACAACTACTTTTTCATGTTAAAATATAAAAAAGTAACGCCAAACTAGGCCACATTATTCGTATCACTACCAGTACCATGCATATTCACCAATTACGTTAATCAAGTAATTTTATTAACATATTTTAATTTTTAAATATTTGTTAATTCAGCTACCGTCCGTCGTGATGTCTCTCTCAAAGTTCGCATGTCGCAAGGCAAAGACGCGTGATATACGCGGGTGAAACCGCGGGGCACAGCTAGTTTCTGATATAAGATTTAAAAAAAAAAATATTGACTCACTTATTTTATCTATAAATTTCCCATATCTTTACCATGAAATTACCCGTAATTCTTGATAGAAAACCTGAATATATCAGTATTAATGGGTGCCCTGTAGATGACCTATGAATAATTCATCCCGAAAACACTTACATGATGAAATCTGCTATTTACTCACAAGCTTCACTCAGTCATATAAGTGGTTTTATTGATTTCGGTTTCTCTAATACAACCACACTCTTGAAAATGATCAAAAGATATAATAACATTTTTGAATCATAAAATATTTTTGCGAAATTAAATTTGAATATTTAATTTTCAGCAATCACACTAGTTTGGAAGTAAAGACTAGAAATGAGTTGGGGGGTGACTCGAACTTTAGGCCGAGTCAGTTTTAAAAGCCTATCATATAGAGGATGTCAAGGGATTGTGGTTCAATAGGGGCAAAAGTTTCACATTACACTCCTAGGGGGTGAAAATGGTCAAAAACCAAAAAAAACTGGTGGGTGACTCGAACTTTAGGCTTAATCAGTTTGAATAGCCTATCATGTAGAGGATTTTTGTTATAGGATAAGGGTGAAAAACGAGCACACAATCCACCTTATGGTAAGTGGTTGCTGCAGCCTATAGACATTTACATCTATCCTCTATTACAAATCAAAATGCAGATGCGTTTTCACCCGTGAGGACTAGGATGGAATGCCTCATTTCCAGTAAAAAGGGCCTCCGGCCACCTGCACTCACCAAGCAAAACGCTAACCTAGAGGTTTACCTCTGCGTTTCGCTTGGTCGCGCACAGAATAACAACGTAATGTAGACTTCACGCTGGTATTCTGTGAGGTCGTGGTACCTACCACCCCGGTTCGAGCCGGCCCATCCGTGCGACAGGAAAAGCTGCCGCGTGGCTCTACCATTGTTAAATGGATATCATGGGGTCATGGTTGAATAGGGGCCAAAAATTCTCACCACACTCCTTCTTTCTGACAATGTGCTTTTTATATCATTGATTATGTACAATATGATTGTTAAATACGATTTCATGCGACAAAACGTTGGAGTCTTGATTTTTAGGCCCCGGTAAAACATTTCACTTTAACTATTACAGTTATGTCACAATAACTACTTTTTCATGTTAAAATATGAAATAGTAACGCCGGTACAAACTAGGCCACAATTATAAAGAGGAAAGATTTGTTTGTTTGTTTGTTTGAATTGAATAGGCTCCAAAACTACTAGACCAATTTGAAAAATTCTTTCACCACTAGAATTCTACATTATCTCTGATGAACATAGGCATTATTGTAAAAAAAGTTAGGGATCCGTATGAAAACTTCGTTAATGTAACCCTAGGTGTGAAAAAAATACCAAAAAGAATCCTTATATCGCATACGCTGCGGAAAGTATTGATAATAGAGCAAAGTAATATACTTCAGTTTTACAGAGGATGTCAATATCTACAAAAAAGCCTGCGATACCATATGTTTAACTATTATATTTATGTCACAACAACTACTTTTTCATGTTAAAATATAAAAAAGGAACGCCAAACTAGGCCACATTATTCGTATCACTACCAGTACCATGCATAACCACCAATTACGTTAATCATCTAATTTTATTAACATATTTCACTTTTTAAATATTTGTTAATTCAGCTACCGTCCGTCGTGATGTCTCTCTCAAAGTTCACATATCGCAAGGCGAAGACGCTTGATATACGCGGGTGAAACCGCGGGGCACAGCTAGTTTCTGATATAAGATTAAAATTCACTTGGCGACTCAACGCCTCCATTGAACAAATTGGTAATTACATTTCATATTAAAAATCATACTTTTTGGTAGAATGAACCAATTTAAAAAAAAATTAACATGACTAAAATATGTTACGAAGATACGCTATATAATTTTCTTTACGACTATATTAGACGTGATACATTGATGTGGGTTGAGAATGGGTGAGTCAACCGTCAAATGCCTTTTGTACGCCGATGATCAAGTCATATTTGCATCGTCGGCGGCAGAGTTGCAAATGATGGTTACTTTAATGAATTGGTCATTGAAAGAAAGGGGTATGAAAGTGAACGCAAGTAAGACGAAAGTGATGGTTTTTGAAAGAGAAGAAAGTAAAACTTTATGTGAAATAAGAATAGAAGGGGAGTTGATTGAGCAAGTGGATGAGTTTGTATATTTGGGATGTTTATTTAGCAGGGATGGTAGATATGATAAGGATATAAAACGACGAGTGAACGCAGGAAATAGAGTGAATGGGGCTCTACACGCTATTATGAGGAGTCAGAATGTGTCAACTAAGGCACGTATGGCAATTCATAATGCTGTGTTAGTCCCTACTTTAATGTATGGTAGTGAAAGTTGGGTCTGGCAGAAGAAGCATGAGAGTAGAATAAATGCTGTAGAAATGCGTTCCTTAAGGAGTATGCTAGGGCTGAATCTGAATGACAGGGTGAGAAATAGTGTGATAAGAGAAAAGTGTGGTTTGCAAGATGACGTTGTGACAAGTATTAAGAAAGGAATGCTTCGGTGGTTTGGTCATGTAGAAAGAATGAACGAGGAAAGAGTGACAAAGCAAATTTATGTTGCAGAAGTGAACGGCAGGGTCGGGAAGGGACGCCCTAGACGAAGGTTTATCGACCAAATCGGCGAAACATTAAAAATGGGCCAGATTAGGAGTACCCTTAACCGACGAGCGTGTATGCGTAGATATATGGATGTAAAAGAGGCGAGAGAGGTGTGTCAGGATCGCGCCAAATGGAAGTCCGTAGTCTCTGCCTACCCCTCTGGGTGACAGGCGTAAGTGTTTATGTAATTATAAACAAACAGAGAAACAGATATTTCTAAAAATGATAGGAAAGTATTTAATTACCTATTTTTAGTCTCTCTCAATAATTTCTGTCACAATAATATACAATCTGATATACAATCAGACACCTGCAATTTACATTTATAAATGAAAAATAGAATCGTTTGTTTATTTACCATCAAATTTTCGAAATATAAACATTAAAAACATCTACTTAAATCTGCAATACGGTAGAGAGTTTACCGAAGGCGCATCTTAATAAACAAAATCGAAGAGTTGATCTCTCTTGTATTTAATATAAAAATGATGTGTCAATATAATATTAAGGATTACAGTTTGTTACAGAAATCTTATATAAGTATTTTTAATGTAATCTGATTGTTATTTGTTTTGTTATTTATATAATAAATAAATACGATCAAAGGACGAGAGTAAGGGATTCCCTTAAGCCACCATTAGACGACATATAATCCGAAGGCCTAATTATACGTTCTAAAGATTACGCATTGAAACTTAAATCTATCTTATATGGGTTCGAATCCACCAATCAACTTCTGTCGCGACCTAATTCGAAAGTGCTTAAAGATAACTTGGACTGGTTAAACTCGAATATTAAGTGCTAATAAGATAAATCAAATAAATTCCTTTTGATAGAAGGTTTGCGTATAGCCATCTTTTCTATAACTAACAAATATAATACTAACAACGAAGAGCAGTATCAAAGATGCGAGACGTCTGGTATTGTGATCTCCAATTCGTTTGTTAAATATGGCGATTATGGGCTGATGATAATGATAAATTTACCAAAATACATTGTAATTGTAGAAGCAGACCAAAAGAACAACAAACACCAAACCGCTCAAAAGAATACCGATTCCTACCAAGGATGATACGCGAGGCTATTTAAATTTAAAAAAAAAACACAAAAACATCCTAATTTCAATGGAGAAAATGGGTGGTGCTGCCATCTGCTTGGGATCCTATAATTAGCAAAATTAAATCCAAACTCAATCATACTACTACAAGACTTCAAGATAAAAACTAATATTCAAAAGCTGAAGGTAGCCAGCATAACTATGACATCGGGACGTCAAACATCTCAGTCCCCCCCCCCCACCGTCTCCCGTCAGTCATCCAACACGTCTGGAATTAAAATAAGTAAATTAAACGCGATAAAATCCGTAAACATAGTTTTGTTCCTATGTGCATTGTGCGATCCTGAGTTTTTGAACCGCGTACTTTTCACAGATGAATGCTTTTTTGTTAGAACAGGTGTATTTAACACTCATAACGAACACATCGATATAAAGAAGGATATATTACGATATACTTTTTTATAATTAAAATACATCGCTGATAAGATTAGTCCACACGATCATGCGCTTAATTTAGTAATTTATCGGTGCTTGATAAGAAACGACATGTCAAAAAAAGTCGCCGTTGTCACCGGATCAAATAAGGGTATTGGATTAAGCATAGTGAAAGGTTTGTGCAAAAGATTCGATGGAGTTGTTTATTTAACTTCAAGAGATGAAGCAAGGGGTAAAGCTGCGGTTGCTGATTTAAACAAACAAGGATTGCATCCTGAATATCATCAACTGGATGTAAGTGATAGAGAAAGTATTTCAAAATTTCGAGATCACATACAAGAAAAGTGTGGTGGTATAGATATTCTTATTAACAATGCTGGTTTTGCCAATGCCAATAACATCGATTTCTCATACGACTTTGAGGAAAACAAGGAGATAATAGATATCAATTTTAAAAGCATTTTAACTATTCAAGAATTAATTTTTCCATTAGTAAGAGATAATGGTCGAATTCTCAATATTTCTAGTGACTGTGGACATCTTTCTAATATAAGAAACAAGTACTGGGCTGACAGATTATCAAGCAAGGACTTGACATTAAAAGATATCCTTGAGTTTGTTGATTGGTTTCTCGAGGGATGTAAAAATAAAACATTCAAAAAAGAAGATATAGCAGATGGTGGGACAATTGCAGCATACAGGGTATCGAAAGTTGCTCTTAGCGCTATAACAATTTTACAGCAAAAAGAGTTGTTAAAAAGAAATATTTCTGTGAACTCTATGCATCCCGGATTCGTGCAAACAGATATGACGAAAGGTAATGGGTTTTTAAGCGCTGATCAAGCTTCTGAGACTCCATTATACATAGTGTTAGATGCACCTGATTCTTTAAAGGGAGCTTATATTTGGTACGATGGAAAAGCTGTAGATTGGTACGATTGCAATGGAGAGTATTATTTCAAGATATCTACGTACATAGAGCAATTAGTCTCAGCAGATAAAAAACAAAATATTTAATTGATGTTTTTTTTAAAACTTTATCATATTAAACTGTGTTTTTGGTTTCATAATATATAAAACGTGTTTGTAGAAGTGATTTTTTAAGTTCCATGTATGTACTTATATAGCGCAAAAATGAATGTTATTTAAAATTAAATTTAAATAGCTTATTATTAATAATAAAATTTGCTCAATCGTAACAAAATATTCATTTTTATTTTAGAATGATACTTGCTTTTAACATGGAAATTATATACAGAGTGGTAGAGCCGGGCTGTTGGTATACTATGGCTACAACGCGTGTGGATCTGTTCGACCGTGGAATGTCTAGGCTCTAAGACAATATCAGCATAAAATAACAGCTTAATGCTGCCGTATTGTTATGTGGGAACTGTTTAATGAAGGACAGGTGCGTCGATCTGTCTAGAATTTTATTTAGAGTACTAATTATTCTAAACTTAACTCTAATATATAATGATGTCATGTGGGTTATAACACTACATCACACCTCCCACTCACAAAAAAAATTAAAATATTAATACCTTTATTTTTTATTGACTCAAAAATATATTATGCGTAAAAATAATATAAATTACAAAAATGCAATAGATCCAGATGGGTGTATTATATGGGTTGGTCGGACGGCCAGATCCTCTTGCCTCATCGTAATTTTAAGGTCACAATCTTGTTCCCTGTGCAATGTACTTAGTTTCGTAACTGTCAATTAATGTTATACGTCTACATACGTTTACATTTTTCCTTAGTCACTTAGTTATTAAGAAATTTAGTGACTGTAATCATCTTGTCATTATACAACTTATCTAGTCCGAACTATGATAATATATAAAATATGAAAATAAAAAGAGTATTATAATATTTTAACAGTGGTAGAGCTACGCCGCAGCTTTTACTGTCGCACGGATGGGCCGGCTCGAACCGGGGTGGTACCACGACCACACAGAAAACCAGCGTGAAGTAGAGGTTTACCTCTGCGTTTCGCTTGGTGAGTGCAGGTGACCGGAGGCCCTTTTTACTGGAAATCAGGCATTCCATCTTATTCCTCACGGGTGACAACGCATCTACATTTTAATTTGTAATAGAGGATAGATGTAGATGTCTACGGGCCGCAGCAGCCACTTACCATCAGGTGGACTGTGTGCTCGTTTGTCACCCTCATCTTATAAAAAAAAAGTTATTTTATTTATTTATTCATAATATTTACTACATTCTTGGTTAACCATTATTTATTTGTCATATTCTCCAAAGCATTGTGCTATTCATTAAATATTTATGTCATTTCTATCGCGTACACGACTCGCGTATATACATGACCAAGACAATGGGCAATATCATTTCATTTACCGTTTTTAAATTTGTAGCAATTCAGATCTTAAGATAATTTATTATACAATTGTACCGTTTCTTTCAGATAAACGGTTCAAATACATACATGATCAAGATAATGAGCAAAATTCCCATAAAATTCTAAATAAATTCTTATCCATTATAAATTCTCTTCCCTAATTAATCATTACATTAATACTTACCTTCAATTGCATCTGAACAATCTTAATACATTAATAAGTTATTAGGTATTCCAAACTCTCAGCTGATCAGGCTGATTGTATGTGGATATGCTAACCTCTGACAATTTTCTTTACCTACGTCACTCACACCTACACACTATCAATATTTTTCATTAATAATTGCATACGCCATAACTTAGCCAGATACATTTTCCTTTATATAATACAGGTATCTTATATTATTTAGGTACATCATTTTGAGTCAGGGAATGAGGCTCACAATGTTAAGTGTATACACAAGAGAAATTTCAAAATACGAAGAAAATAATTAAAAAAGAAAAAGAAAACAAAGAGGTAAGATACTCTACTATTTTATCAGAAAATTATAAAATTTAAAAGCTTATCATTTGAAAATTTAATCAATAATAAACCAAAAATAAATTAATAAATTACATAATATGATTTACAGTAAGCAACGTTATCATTATTATCAACAACCCAGAAGCGCAAGCGATTTGTGACCCCTTTTATTTTAAATTCCAAAGTAGGTACGCACAAGAAAACATTTGCGATTACATCAAACTAGAACTATATACGTGGTAACGCTGTAGCTATATTATGGTTGTAACACAAATGGGTCCGCTCGACCAGGGCACGCTCGCTAAAATAGCAGCTTAATTATGCTGTATTTCGTATGATGAGTGTAGTGAACCGGAGACGAGGAGGAAAGAGGCATTCCATGATAGTCCTCAGAGGTGACGACGCATCTGCATTTTGATTCTTAACTGAGGATAAATGTAGATGTCTATGCGCCACAGAAACGACTTACCATCAGGTGGACTGTGTACTCGTTTGTCACGCTTATTTTGTATATAAAAAACCAATATAACATTATGTGAATACAAGTAAAATGTACCTTAAAATTTTAATGTTAATAGATCCTGGCAGGGTCACCATTTAATATGGAAGTGTCTCAATATAGGAAAGGCATGATGATCTAAAACTTTATTTAGACTAATGCTTAATCTAAACTTAAATCTGATGTAATATATATTTTTGTGTGTTAATACGTGTAGACTACAAAACTACATCACACTGTATTTTATGGTGATTGTAGAGAAGCAAAGGCTTTGTTTACTGGTACTTTTATTCTTAATCAAAGATATATGTAGGTTTCTATGGTTCACAATATTTGTTTACCATCAGGTGGATTGTTTTTATGTCACATTTATGATATAATAATTTTAAAAAAACTTGTATGAGTATTACAACTATAGTTGATCAAACTTATGTGTAGCTAATTAAAACATTAAAATCCATTGATATTTGAGCAGCAAAATATTGATATTATATCAAGGAAAGCATTGTATGTACAATGATAAGTAGTTTATTTTTGAACGGTGTTATCACTAAAACATTCATTACCGATAACATTTAACGTCGTTCTACTAACACTTCTGTCAATTTTAGTTAAGCGCTGTATTGCAATAGAAAAAGACATGTCTACTAAAGTTGCAATTGTTACGGGTTCTAATAAAGGTATTGGTTTAAGTATTGTTAAGGGGTTGTGCAAAAGGTTTAAAGGGATCGTATATTTAACGTCAAGAGATGAAACCAGGGGAAGAACTGCAGTTGCCGAGTTGAACAAATTAGGACTACATCCGAAATATCACCAACTCGATGTAACGGATATAGATAGTGTTATAAAGTTTAGAGATCATATTCAGGAGCAATATGGTGGAATAGACATCCTCATAAACAACGCCGCCATTGCCAGGGTGACTGGGTGCTATAATTCGTATGAAGAAAATAAACAAATTGTGGAAATTAACTACAAGAGCATTTTAACTATGCAGGAATTGATATTTCCCTTGGTGAGAAATAACGGCCGAATTCTCAATATATCTAGTAACTGTGGACATCTTTCCAATATAAAAAATAAATATTGGATAGATAGATTATCCAATAAGAACTTGACACTGACCGACATTAATGAATTTGTTGACTGGTTCCTCGAAAGTTGTAAGAATGGAACGTTCAAGAAAGAGGACATAGCTGATAATGGAACAGTTGCTGCATACAGAGTTGCGAAAGTAGCTCTTAGTGCTATTACGATGGTGCAACAGAGAGAACTAGAGAACAGAAACATATCCGTAAATTCAATGCACCCTGGATTAGTTCGCACTGACATGACTCACGGTGTTGGATTTTACAGCGCTGACGAAGCGGCTGAGGCCCCCCTTTATGTAGTGTTGGATGCACCTGAAAATCTCAAAGGTTGTTACATCTGGTACGATAGACGAGTTTTGGATTGGTACGACTACAATGCGGATTATTATTTTAAAACTGCAACCTTAAATAAATATTTTGCTTCAAGTTAATGCTAATATGTATTTTTTGTCCAATAATTGCGAAAGTAAAATAAACTTTAGTTACAATTATTGCTTGCATAACTCAAGCTTTAATTATTATCTCTCTCTATACATGTCTCTTTCTATTGTCATTTAGTATAAAACTTAAATTAATATTGAATTTAAAGAAAAGTCCGTTAATAATTAAGATATTATTTAAAACTCTTTTATTTTTTTACTAAATTAATATTGATTTCTTATATTTACGCGAACACTACACATTGAATAAAACTATTTTTACGGATTTTATCGCGTTTAATTAACTTATTTTACATTCCCGTCGTTTCGGTTGCTTTCCAGCAACCGTGGTCACGGGGGACTGAGGTGATTGACGTCCCGATGTCAGAGTTAAACCGGAGTACCTTCAGCTTTTTTAATTAATAGTTTTGGTCCGATCTACGCAGAATGAACTAACTGAGTCTTGAAGTCTTGCAGTGGTATGCTTGGGTTTAGTTTTAATTTTATGAATTACAGGATCCCAAGCAGGTGGTAGTACCCAGCCTCCCTCTCTATTGAAATTAGGATGTTCTTTAATTTCAATAGCCTCACGTATCATCCTTGGCAGGATTCGATGTTCAATCGCGAGAGTTTGTGGTTTATCAAATCTAATGTAATGGCGGGGGCCGTCTAGGATATGATCACAAACTGCAGACTTCCCGGAACGTTGGTGCTTCACGTCAGCTATGTGTTCTTTTACGCGCGTAAAAGAACACATAGCTGACGTCTTAGACTGCTTACGAATTAATAATTAAGAAGCAGTACATGCACATAATTAATTAATCTATACAAATAAATAACATTGAAGTGTCTGTTTGTATTGTAAAAATTACACTTTTTTACTAAATGCATATATAAGTAAATACGGTACTTATAACAAAAATAGAATTTTTAAAATTTTTGTCTGTCTGTCTGTCTGTTTGTTCCGGGTAATCTCCGAAACGGCTGGACCGATTTTGACGGGACTTTCACTGGCAGATAGATTTCATAAGGAGTAACTTAGGCTAATTTTATTTTAGATAATTTAAAATTAAAAATTTTGTACAGCCGACTTCAATATAAGTTATTAAGAATAACTCAAATA